GAATCCTCTATTGTTGTATATATATATATATATATATATATATATATATATATATATATAATAGACATTGAGGCGGTCAAAACCATGCAAATCTAACCGGGAACAGGAATATGCTCAGTGATGTCAAAAAGTAATGGGGCATCAAAAATAAAAGTCTTTATCCTTTTCCCACACCGTTTTCAATTTATTAGTCATTTTTAAGGACTTGGGGGTTCATGCAGACTTTCACGCATGTTTTTCCTGCAACTGGTTTTGTGTCATTGTTTCGTGTGCTGTAGGCTGTCAGCGCTATTCATCTTTCTGTTCCCAATTGGGAAGGCGTGCCTGTCCAGAAACTGATAAGCAGGATATCAGCGATTTGCCGCTTTGTCCCCATGTGGTGGGCTCGCTCCCACGCTACCTCTTCCACTGCAACCCTGCATGCACACATAGGACGCAGAGTAGCACTCGCTCGCCAGACATGCACAGGAAGTGACCAAGCCATCACAAATGGTGCAATAAAACAATCTCACAGAGCAGCAGATCCGCCTCTCTAAGTGACGTGATGATTGTGCACCCGATGTTGCCACCATCCACGGGCGATCCTCCGCAAACAACCGTCGTCGAAGACCAAAAGCCTACGCATATCGTCCACTCAGATCGGCCAGAATTCGCGTCTATACAACTGAAGAAATAAATAAATGCTTTATTCCCTGCAGTGCGGGGCATGCCTGTGAAGGCATACTCATGCTAATACAAATAGTTATGATCAGAAGTTGTATAAAAATACAGCAAGTTGAGCAATAACATATGGATTTTTGTGTCTGTATATATGTAAGTGTACTATTAGTGGGCATGTTGAGCGGACTTTTGAAGTGAGACTGAAATGAATTTGTTTGCTGTATGAAGGGAGCAAAGGAACTCTTCGAACTGAATGACGTTCATGAAGTGACGATCCTCCGGAAGGGAAAGAGACAGTGGTTTTATTTACTGGCGACTGACATTCGCCACTTCGCAGTGTTGTTAAATGGACCTGTGTGGCTTTTTAAAGGGAGAACGCTTACTAGGCAAATTTCCACCACTTCCTGGAACACTGCCGCTGAACTATTCGCTGGAACGGGACTAACCCGAACCACCCAGCTGGCACCACGTGGAGGTTGTTCGGTTAGCCAGGTATTGCGCGAACACGGCCATTAGAAATCCTTTATTTTAGCAAATGCGATAGGTTGCGACGACGTCACATGTGTCTCAAGTTGGCAAATTGCCATAAGAGACCTAGAAATCTATGACCAAATGTTAACTGTTTGTTTTCTGGAAATGGGCCAAAAAATTAGCACCCCGTTTTCGGGAGAAGGATACGTATGCTGTGCTTTTTAGCGGACGTTTTCACCTAAGTTGGATGCTACTAACTCAGTCACTTCCTTACAGAACCCCAACTCATGCACATACTTAATCAATTCTTGCTGACTGAATTACTAAGAGGAGGGTTGAAATTCCGTGTCAGTTGCAGTCCTTATAAGTTGAAGCAGATACCTGTAACTAGGCCCCATTACAACGGCACTGATTTCATCATTTGATCAAGCGAAACCCTTGAATTTGAGACTTGAAGCTCCACTGAGTGTGGTCTACGTCGAATTGCTGAGTAACTTCTAAGATAGGAGTGCTTATGCCAACGTTTCTCGCCGGACCATTTTGATGAGCCATGCACAAATCACAATTGGTCATGTGGTTCTTAGATACTCGCCAAACTATGGAAACTGCAAATGTCAAACCTTTGCCTTTTGTTCAGTCACGAAGCATTTCCCTACAATAATGGCACACAGAGCGAGGCGCTTATTTTTGTTTTAGTCACCGGGGAATAGTGCAATGTATGTTTTACAGACACGTTTTACAAACGAAGTGATGTTACTCCTTTGCTTGATTAGTGTATAACAACAGTTGATATATGGCAAATCGCATCAGGCATATTACACATTTGTGCCTAGTTGGGTAGTCCATAAATATAGCTGAAGGGAATGTGGATTTATATACATTTTTTTCTCGTTACGTAAAATATCAAAACTCATGCACGAATAACACAGTTGAGATTTGAGATCAACATGCAAAAATCATATAAGATCAGTTCGTACATCTCATGCGTCAGAAAGCTAAAACCTCTTGTTGCTTTGTATAATTTATCATAGCAAAAGAGTACTTGCATACCTTGGGGCAGTTTCTTGTGGTCTACCAAATAAAGTGCCCATCACGTTACTGTGACTATAAAAAGCTACTGCTGACTACATTTTAGGATTTGCTTTGATCCACATTCAATACTGAAACGATGCTTCATCATGGGTGAGAGCTATCTCTTAGAAGCTCCCTGGAATTGTCATGGTTATAAGTTTAATCACAAACACTCGGGTCGTCAGAGCAAAGTGCATACATGAATATATCTACCACGATTTTATGAAGACGACTGATGAATGTGGTGTTTCCTTACTTTGCGAAATGGGTTAGTGTTAAGTCAAATGGCTTTTTGGTTACGGATAATGTTGGGGCACAACGGAGCCACAAATCTTTAGGTAGCATTCCAAATGACAATACAACTTGCCCAACTCTGGTCAATGACTGCTGAAGTTTGGTGTAGCTAGGGTTTATGTAATGTCGGCCCTATTGGCTAGGATGGTTGATAAGCAAAAACACCAATACATGATCGCACTCTAGGCTTTGATGCCGGACCGAGTGGTCTGCGCGCCTGGTTTGCAACCATAAGGTCACCGGTTCGAATCTGCATAGGGGCAGAGGAGGGGCCAAGCGATGACTTGGTCGAGAGAAATAAAAACCCTCACTTCGAGGTTAGCGTCGGTTGGTACATCCCGACTACCTGGCTGGAGCCCTATAGACGACGAACATGTTTGTTTGGACACGTTGCTGATGTGGCGAAGAGCCGGCCCAATGACGTTTGTGTTGTGAGTTTCTTCTCCCACCCATCCAACAACAATCTCAATTATTAAGGGTAATGTGACCACTTTGTGGCACAATATCCGGCTGTTAGCGCTCCGTAACGATGCCCATACGTTACTGGTGACTCCGCTGACGTGCCTCTGTTTCATATTTTCTTGTGTTGCGGCGCAATTGCTGAGGTGTTTTCCACCTGCAGCTAACATGTATAATGAATGGATGAATGATGTAGGGGCGGACGTCCACTCGGTATACTCAGTTTACGTGCGACTGATGGTGGTCAAGCGTTAGTGAAGCGCCGTTACGGGGCACAGCTGTCGATTTATTTTTTATATTCTCTTCGATGCGTAACCTCCAACTTGGTGTGGGAAATGCAATCTGCAATCTTTTTCCTACTTGTGGAATTTCGGATATAACATTCTCCAGTATGTACCCGGGCTGTCAGGTGTAGGTGCCATATTTCACGCAGGATTTCAGTCATGCGGTTGAAATTTATGAAAGATGGACAGGTCAAGGGGCTCGAAAGCCCACCGCAGGGTACAATGTCGGTTTCTGAATTTGATGCCCTTTGTGGTTGAGTCGAAAAGAAGAGGTTTTCCGTAATCAATATCTTAAAGTCAAGCTCTTAGAGGACTTTCCGAAGATGTGACCGCCAGGCGTTTTCAAGCTTTCGGCAAACTGTCTGTTGTTGTCTTACATTTAGCCGGATTATATATACTTGATGAAATCCTGGTCGCTGTTTCGTGGTCATTTTGAGGTACCTCTTGTGTAATTCAGAGGCTGCCTGAATATCAGCTGCTCAATAAAATATATAATAATATGATAATATATATTTAATAATGTAATAATATATAATATTATATTATAATATAATATAATTGACATATTCGGTTTCAGGCAGGTTGTTCTAAGCCACGGCACTCACCAGCTCAGTAAACGAATAAATAAACAAATAAGCACAAAGCCTAGGCGGTACACTGCATTTGATCGGAGCTCCAAACTCGCCTCTACAAGCATCCATGAAGGGGTAAGTGGCTAATTCACAATAAAACAGGATACCCGGTTTTTATAGACTTGGATGGAGTAAGTGTGTTCTGTACATCCAGACGTCTGTGTTACCGGGATCATTTTAGACAAACGGCACCAATCTAGTTCCATATAGTACTCGTTCGGGGCCGACTGTCTCTGTCACTGTCCCTGCTCTGTTGTCAGAGCAGTGACGGTGTTTTGTGGAAAACCGTGCTTTATGGACATCTTTAACTCATATCGTTAGGACAGTGGTTTTCTAAAGCTCAGGGATCGCATGAGAGACATACAAAATTGCTATAATGCATCGGTTGAAATTTCCGAGCTCATCACTAGTCAAGAGAATGTAACCTACTTACTGGTCTGAGGACGCAAACGCCACTTAGTCAACGAAATTTCTGAACTTTGTGAGTGTTTGGAAGATACCATGCCATCATCAACCAAATCCATTAGTCGCATAGACGAACAAAGTTGGAAATTTTATTTGGAATATTCTCGTTGTATGCGCCCAGCGGCTACCTATACAGTGCTACTCATTAAATTTACCGGACTCCGATAATTTCATACTCAAATGCAAACACCGCGTAAATTTTGGAGTGTCAGACATACTACTCCGTCGTTCCTCGTGTTAGGTTCCCAATTGCAAACATTCTGTTACCAGGTTACTGTAAGTTGCCACCTACGATGTTATCCAACCTGATAAGGAAACGTATGCAGCTCAGTGAACAGCAGCAAACTATCATCCACTTCCACAAGAATTTCTAGTTTACTCTGTCGTCTGATGTGAATTGGTAACCGTGCCCTTGAATGAGGTTGGTCCTGACTGCACTGTGTCAAATAGAACAACGGCATTACTTTCCCCTCCAGCGAAAACCAGTAGTATGCCTTGGGTTTTCATTATGTTTTCCCTCAATTCGTAGCTATTGTTACTTTTTGATCGGAAAAATGACACGCAATTTACTGACTGGGATGTCGGCAACTTTCGAAGCCCTTTCATTCGCAAGGGGCCTTTTTAACATTCTGAATAGACACATTTCTCCAACTTTTTGGCGCAGGTACCATTTCGGCTACGGCTGCCGCGACAGAGGCAATGAACCGAGTCAGACAATTGCAACAAAGTATGGATCAGCAGGTGAGCACATTACATCGTAACAGCTTACTGACAAATTTGTGGACAAACGAATCGCCAGGATCCGCCTGGCTAGCTGGAAAGGCATAACCACATGGAGTGATGTTGTCTAGTAGATGTGTTTTTAAATATATTTTTACATTCAAGTGGATGTATGCTGTGTAGAATTGATTTAAACGTTTCCATTGGAGAACTTCAAAGGAAGCAACATTTCATCTGGACAACCTGTACTACGTGTAGTTTGTGCATCTTCATTTAGTTACCCACGTGTTTTTAATAAGAACCTCAAACGAACAGCACACCAACTTCTGCGATGGTAGCTATGTGTTAATTAAATTGATTTTCATCCGACGTTTGTTAATGGCGTACTGAAAACCCTGTCACTGATTTTATTTTATTCGACGAACGCGTTGGAACAGTCCAGAACATAACATATATTCAACTACTTTTTTAATTGCCAAGTAAGGAAGGAAACACAAAACTATTCACCTCAGATTTTTAAAAAAATGTCCAACTGATCTTGTGCACCTGAGGGGTTACTAAGGCTTATACATTCATTTGCTTGCTTTCAATGAGGCTGGACCTTACCGTGGTGCGATGGTTTGTGTGCCTCAGCGATCCATTGAGCTATGCTGGGTGGTGCTTTTGCACCTTCAGAGTCACTCATACCAGATTGGTCAATGGTTAGAGGCCAGACAAACTCAGCCTCCTGGTCATCCAAGTTGGGGGTTGGAATGACGGTGGCACCTTATTCCTCTAAACGGACACCTTGTAGACCAATCCGCTGCCTTGCGGTCAGGTTTTTGAACCAAAGGCTTTGGTTGAGAACCCTAATCGTTCTCCTGTCTAAGCCTGGGCAACCTGACAGTATCCTGCCCACGCAATACTATGAATCTTACTTCAAACAATTTTTTGTTGCTCTGGCCACCGCAGAGGATAATCAACGGTGCCCTATCTGCTGCATCGAGCAGGGTAGATAGGGTTTGGATGCTACTGCTCAAGCCTTCCAGTCTTCTCATTCCTCCTCTTACGCTTTTTCACTCTTACCGTCACGTTCCAACTTCACTTATATCCTCCCAGTTTTCAACCCCCCGATTCTTGGCCCTCCCCCAACATGCTTTGCTAAGCATTTACCTTCTAATTTCAACTCACATGTGAACGCGGAGCGTAACTCCTCTCCTATCGCCAAGCCCATGTCCAACCAAGCGGTCCATTCCAGTTCATCGGCTTCCATTTGGAGCCCTCGATCCTCCTTCAGATTGGCATGCCTCAATGTACGCACACTGCTACAGATCGGTCAACAGGCAGCACTTACCCGAACATTGGAGACCCTCTCAATCGACATCTGTTACTTATCATAGACCCGCCTCCAAGACCCGAGCTCTGTACTCATTCTGCGATCCCCTTCAAGTGACACTAGCAGCACTTTCTCTTTGCGCCCATCCGGTGACGATGCAGCTTCGAGCACCGACCAAGCCGGTGTTGATATTGCCCTGAGTCCCCGGGCTGAAGCTGCTCTGGTTGATTGGATTCCAATCAGTAGCCGGATGTGTGCGGTCCGATTGGCTGGATCGTTTAAAGCTTCAAAGTCGTGCGGGACTAATAGGTGTCTATTTATCATCGCTGCCTACGCGCCCACAAACTGTAGCGGCGATTCGGTAAAGAACGACTTCTACCGCCAACTGACCCAGCTGCTTCGCCACAGAAGAAGCACGGACACTGTTGTGCTGGCAGCGGATATGAACGCACAAGTTGGAAAGTTGTCCACTTATGATATGCATCTGGGCGGTCAGCACGGTGTGGGCTCCCGTAGTGATAACGGTGAGCGGTTACTTCATTTGTGTGTAGATGCTCGCTTATTTCTTGCGAACACTAATTTCCGACACAGCACCCGCCGGAGGGTGACTTGGCGCCCACCAGCCTCGAACAAGCTATGGACGCAAATCGATCACATTGCTATCAGTTACCCATGGAGACGCTGCATCCACAACTGTCGCACAATTTGGAGCACATGTGTGGACACCGATCATGCACTTGTGTGTGCTGACATGCGGATGCGTTTTGGCAGACGCCCACGACGCTGTGAGCGCATTGACACCAGCCAACTGACAAAGCCAGCTGTTCTGAATGCGTATCGAAGTACGCTGACATGCGAGTTGAGTAATCGCTCACTGGAAACAATTGATGGTCACTGGTCACATGTTCACCAGACCTTACTAGTAGCAGTCAAATCCTCATGTGGTATGTCTAATAGCCAATATGGACATTGGGTCTCTTCTCGGTCTCTGGAACTTATCGACGCTCGCCGGCATATTCCGCCTGGAAGCGGACACAATGAAACTCGCAAAGAGATCCGCACAAAACTCCGCGCTAGCCTGAAGAGAGACCGCTAATCTTGGTGGTCTCATCGTGCGTCAGAGATGGAAGCGGCCGCTGCCCTTGGCAACCATCGTAAGTTATTCCGTCTGATACGGGAAACGGGCAACAGGAGACCTGGTGTTAGTGAAACTATACGTGACGAGAGTGGACAGCCTATCCACAATTTGTCAAAACGTTTGGAGCCTTGGGCTGAGCATTTTGAAAAGCAATTTAATCAGCTAGAATTGTTGGATTCTTCGCTTGCCAGTGATCGCCCTGATTCGTGTGCTGTCCCTTTGGACCGACCCTCTCGTTCAGAAGTTGAACGTGAGATCGGACTGTTGAAGTTGAACAAAGCCGCGGGACCAGATGATCTTCCTCCAGTCCTCATCAAATTCGGAGGCTCTGCTCTTGTTGATGCTTTACGTGAATTACTAGTGAAACTGTGGGAGCAGGAGACTGTCCCAACCGACTGGAGCCGCTCCGTTATTGTTCCCATCTTCAAAGGAGGCTTGCGTTCGGAATGCGGCAACCATAGAGGAATCAGTCTGATCTCCATCACTTCCAAATTACTCGCCTCCATAATTCTTCACAGACTGACTGGCGCTCGTGAAAGCCAGATTCATGAGGAGCAAGCCGGGTTTCGTCATAGTCGTGGCTGCATCGACCACATCTTCACCTTGTGTCAGTTGTTGGAGCACCGTCACACCTATCGGCGGCCCACCGTAGTCGTGTTCCTCGACATCAAAGGTGCCTTCGATTCGGTTGATTGATGTGTCCTTTAAAATTGTCTACTTAGGAAAGGTGTGCCCGAGAAATATGTGAATATTATCCAAGCATTATATGCGCGTAGCACGGACAGAGTTAGGGCTTACGGCAAGCTGTCGCCACCCTTCAATATCTCCAGCGGTGTGAGATAAGGATGCCAGCTGTCACCTTTCCTTTTCAACTTCGCTGTTGACGAAGCCATGGAGTTTGCATTTACAGGACATGACTTGGAAGGTGTGGAGCTACTCCCAGGAGAAGGACTTCTTGAGTTTGAGTATGCAGACGACATTGCCCTGATGTGTGACAGCTCCCAGACGTGTCAAGGCGCGCTGAACAGATTAGCACTGGCTGTCAGCCGCTTCGGGCTTTGCTTTGCACCATTGAAGTGCAAAGCGTTCCTGCAAGATTGGCAGGGATCGCCTCCTGCGCTGACCCTTGGTGGGGATCAGCTAGAAGTCGTTCAAAAATTCAACTACCTTGGAAGTTGTATCAGCGTCCTTTATGATCGAAGACGAGATCACGAACAGGATAGCAAAGCTCGAAGTGCTATTGCTAACCATTGCCACCTATGGCGGCGGCGCGACATCACTCTCGCCCTGAAGGGTAGAGTGTACAATGCAGTGGTACGTTCGACCTTACTGTACGGTTGCGAAACCTGGCCCATAAGATCGGCGGACATGAAGAGGCTAGTTACGTTCGACCATCGGTGCCTTCGCAGTTTGGCTCACATCTGGTGGGAACACCGCGTGAGTAACGAGCGTGTTCGACGCCTTGTTTACGGCACATGAAAAGGGAATGAACCGCTCAGCACCGTTATTTCACGCACCAGGCTCCGATGGTTGGGCCACGTGTTGCGCATGCCAGCCCACCGACTCCCTCGACGTGTGTTGTTTGCTCACCGGGGATGTGGGTGGAAGAAGAGGAGAGGTGGCCAAGCGATGACTTGGTCAAGAGGATTGAATGCCCTCACTTCTGAGCTAGCCTCGGTTGGAGCGTCACGGCTCCCTGGTTGGGGTCCAGAAGACGGTGAACACGTTTGGTTGGATACACTTGCTGACATGGCAAGGAGCCGACCTCAGTGGCGTTTGTGCTGTGTGTTTCTTTGTCCCTCCCCATCTCTTTTAGCCTCCCCCTCCATCTACGATCTCATTTCCTAGGGTAAAACATAATAAATTTTTTTGCCTAGTAGCTGGCTGGTAGCTTACCGGAACGATGCCTATCCGTTGCTGGTGGCTCAGCTGACATGCAGCTGTCGTATTTATTTTTCCTTTATGTATTGTATGAATGTATGCGTTGCCTTTATATATTGCGGTACAATTGCGGACGTGTTTCACCACCTTTAGCTGATATGTATAATGATGATGATGATGATGGTTGCAACCGACTTTGCTTAGTTAGATGATTTGGTTCCCAACTCTCAGTTTAATCCTTTACGGTTTGAACATGTGTGTCGGTGTTTCTGTTACCTATACTTTGTTTTAAGTCAATTCTGTCATATTAAAATGTTGGAATTTGTGAAATTGCTCATTGCCACATTGGGGATTGTAGCGTGTTTGTCGGTATGTCCTGTGCCATGGCAAATAGGCAACAATGTGATCGATATCCCTCCTTAAGATTGAAATGGTTCGCGTTTGCAAGCTGAAAACTGTATATGCTTCCATGAGTGGTATTAAAACGCGTTCAGATACGCAGATACTAGTGGGTTTTATCTACTAAGACGCATCACGTCAGGAGCAAAAGTAACAGTTATTTCGCAGTACATTTTTTCCAACTCTTATCAGCCACAGCAAATGCCGAATTCTCATACTGTGATTGCAACTTAACCCATGTATGCCGGAGGTTGGCACTCGTAAATTTTGGCATGAACTTCATACATG